CTATACCGATTAAAAATAATATATTTATTTAACAACTATTAAATTTAAATACGTAAAATAAAAAATTAAATATTTCTTCAAATGAAAAAGGAGAAGTTATTGCTACGCAAGTAAGGGGTCCATTGATGTCCCTATCTAAGATACGAAAAAGTTACGGTGGGTAGTTGATCCATCTAAGGAAGAGTCTACCTTGATTATGAAATCCGTTGCGACGTTTGTTTCTCGATGAATTTTCTAAAATTCAATAAATTCTTTTGCCGTTAATAAAGAATTATTACTAGATTAATTAAACTTTTTATGCTATTTTAATTATCCAATTATTAGTTGATTTGAACCTGGTCGTGCAATATAATGCGCCTTTGTCTTTGTCCTTTGCCCATAATATAATTTTAGTTATTCAGTAGGATTATCAGATGAAACACAATGTACAATGCATTGAATTTCATATACAATATAAAACATGTTACTAGAAATGAGTTAATTAATTTTAACATATGCATTAGTTAATTAATTCAGCCAGAGCATGAACCTGTCTACTTGGCATCTAAATCTTTGATTATTGTATTAAAATTAGCAAATCCATCTCATATTCAATGCACCTAATTTAGTTAAGAATTATAAAACTTCAATTACTTCCTAAATTTTGTATTAATATGTATTGAAACAAACTATTACTTCATATTCAATGCAACCCGAGTTGATTTGCACTTGTGATCCAAAGTGTGTTTGTCACTTTTCGTCCAACGTAGCAAGTATGATATCAAAATATTTGCATTTCATTTTTTTTTTACGAATTGAATTTTTTTAAAACTTACGCCATATTGATGAAAATTTATCTTAAGATTTGACATGTTAATATTTTGATATCCACTGATGATCGTCTATTGAAGCTAATTTTGAGGTATATTGTTTATCTTCTAAAAATAATGTTTATTGTCGTTCAAATTTTCGAACAAATCCTTTAAATCTAAAAAAGCTCCTAACCCCCTGAAAAAATGATGTATTTCTTTAGTTGAATTTCATAAGTTTTAAAGATATTGTAAAAAAATGATGCTCATGAACACGTCTTCGGGTTCTTCAGGCAGCCCCTACTCTCTTGTTCATACCATCAAAACTTTTATCAACAGAGCTTTGATAATTGATATTAACCTCATGGATGATGCTACCACGATGACAAGCACGAATGAGCACCGTTAATGATAAATATCATTAAATTATTTTTATAAAATGTTAAATTATAAAGTACTGAACATATAATTATATATTAGTTAAAAATTTTAAAGTAATTTAATTAAAATACAATATTTATAAAACATTATTTTTAGGGTAAACTATATTATTGATCACCTAACTATTTACCCCTTTTACTTTAACCATTGATTTTTCAATTTTGTTAATCGGGTCACCTAACTATTTAAATCTTATCAATCAAGCCACCTGTCGTTTAATATTAACGGAGGAGATAAAGTGGCAGTTAATAAAATTTGTATAATTACACATTTAATTCTCATTACTTACACATTCTATTAATTTGGTCCTAACTTTTATTTAATTCAATAAATTTAATCCTCAATCCGATGGTGAAATGTGTCACTATGTGATTGGATATTTTTTTAATATTTTTTATTTAATAAATTTTTTATCTAATTAAATGGTGACATGTGTCACCAATTGAATGAATGAAAAATAAATTAAATCAATAACACTACTGGTGGGGTTTGAACGTAGGATGCAAGCTGAAAAACTATGCACTCTAACCACTAAATTGGACCACTAAATTTGTCTAGTATCCAAAATATAATCTATATAATTTATAATATAATTAACGATAATAAATGACCTTATAATGACTCAAATATGAAATAATTGAATAGTATGAAAGTATAAAATATATATAAAGAAATATTATAATTGATTAATAATTTAATATGTTTTATTTATATTTTAAAACATATTTAATGCAAAAATTAAAATAAAAAGTGAATTTGATATGTTATAATTGAAATGTATCATTTTACATATTTTAAATTAATAAATTATCTTCATTATTCTAATTTTATTGAACTTAGGAATGGCAACAGGGTGGGTTCGGGGCGGGTTTTGCTCGCCCCGTCTCCGTCCCCAAAATAAATCCCCCTCCCTGACCCGATCCCCGTCGGGTTTTTTATCGGGGCGCCCCGTCGGGGATTTTTTTTGTCCTATCCCCAAACCGGATCCAAAATATTATACTCAAACCCGAACCCGAAAAATATTATATATATAATTAATATAAAATATATAAAATATTATATATATAATTAATATAAAAATATAAAATATTATATATATATATATAATCGGGGCGGGGCGAGGATACCTTGTCCCGTCCCCGAACCCGACCCAAAAAAATCCCCGATACCCGACCCGATATCATTCAAACCTGACCCGACCTGAACTTGACCGAGTTTCGGGTTTCCTTATCGAGTTCAGGTCATTCTGCCATCCCTAATTGAACTGAAATGTATCATATCCTATATTTTAAAATATTATAATACCAATTAGATTCTAATCTTATTTAGTAACTCTATATTAAAATAGACTAATTCAATAAAAATCAAGTTTTCCCTAAATATTTCTTCAAATATATAATAAATAAATAATAAAATATAAAATTCTTACTCCAATCGAGATATAAACAAGTTAATGCATAAGTTAAAATGCTTACTAAGATAAGCCCTCAACTATCAAGAAAATTCTAAGTCAACAAAACTCTTCGTTATATTTCAATTATAATATATTAAAATTATTATTTTTTTTTTATTTTTTTTATTAAAATAATTTAGAATATAAATAAAATACATTCACATATTAATCGATTATAATATTTGTGTATATATATATATATATATCAAATTATCGAATTATTCAATTATTTCATGTTGGACTTCTTATTAGGTCATTTTCCCTTTATTTATTGTCATTAACTACATATATTATGTCGTGATAGGTTTTTCATTTGAATGGTGCAGCCCAGTGGTTGCGATGTTTACTTCTTTTCTCCATGTCTTAGGTTCAAAACCACTTGCATTGATCCAATTTATTTTCTACTCATTCAATTGGTGACACGTGGCACCATTTGATTGGATGAAAATTTAATTAAATTAAATAAAAATATTAAGAAGAAAATATTCAATCACATAGTGACACATGTCACCATCGGATTGAGGATTAAATTTATTGAATTAATTAAAAGTTAGGACCGAATTAATAGAATGTGTAAGTAATAAGGATTAAATGTGTAATTATACAAATTTTATTAGCTGCCACGTCATCTCCTCTGTTAATACTTAACGACAGATGACTTGATTGACAATATTTAAATATTTAGATGACTCGATTGACAAAATTGAAAAATCGGTTGTTAAAGTAAAAAAAAATAAATTGTTATGTGGTCAATGGTATAGTTTATCTTAAAACTAATGTTTAATAAATATTATATTTTAATTAAATTACATTTAAATTTTTAACTAATTTATAATTATACATTTAATACTTTATAATTTAATGTTTTATAGCATTATATAAAAAAACATTATATAAATTTTCTAATCTCATTCTATATGAAATCAATGAAGCAGTAGATAAAATTGTCAAAGCCTCCTTTGTCCCACATGGACATCTTATAGTTTTGGACTTTACCCCTACTTATTTGCTTAATGTTCTTCATAGAGACATATACGGTGCCCCTCATCACCGATTAGTACCTTCTTGATGTAATGGTTTATATTTCATCTCATATTAAAAAAAGAGTGATATATATTAATGAAACAAGTTTATTATGTCTAATGTGGTGACAAAAAATTGGAGGATAACAGAGTTAATTATATATTTACCCTCAAGTATTAATTTAACCTAGAGAGAAAATAAATATAAACTCAATAATTAATTCATTTGATCGATAATGCAGAACTTCAGCAGAAATGTAAAGCTCTTCCATTTTCAACTTTCCATTTAATCCTGTATAGATATAACAAGAGCTGGCATTTACTTTAGCAAGCAAGAAATAGGAGAAAGGGTGTGCTTGGTGCCAACTGGAGTTCCCTCAGGCACTTCAGTTCGACTTCCATTTACTGAAGTGTTTGGGGGAACTCTGGTTGACATCTGAGACGGTTAAAATCACGATAAGCATCGACTCTATGTATGAATGGTGGTAATTACAGGGATGAAACACCAGTTTTATAGCTCCATGGCATATTGACTCACAAAAGGATTCTCCAACAACTGCACTTCAAAATTTTAGTCAGAATTGCTCTTTTACCCATAAGGTGGTTGTGTTCTCTCGAATGAAACGAATAAGAGGACTTGACATTATTTCCTTCTTTTTTCTTAAACTTTATTGAATGATTCCTTCCCGCCCGCCCCTTATCCCCGTCAATTGAAACCAGATGAACAGTTTAAAGAGGCATTTAACCGGTTTGGTCAGATTGTCTAAGGTAACTTAGCCCTTTCCCATATATATGGTCCTTGTGATTATGTTTCTTTTCTAGAAACATACTTCTTTGTGCTGTTTTCATCCTCGTATATTGCTTTAAATGGTCTTGCAGCCAAACTTATAAGAGATAGAGCCAATGGAAGGTCAAAAGGGCTCGGTTGTGTTACATATATGTCCATTGAAGAAGAAGCTGAGAAGGCTAGAGAAGAACTGAATGCTAAGGTTTTTCATGGATGAGCTATTTTCGTTGACCCTGCCAAACCAAGGTAATTCAGACCTCCACCTAGATCAGATGCCTTCTGAAACGGGTTTCAGAACAAATGAAATGTCGAATGATGCGGATAGTTCAGTTGAACAAAGATGGAAGTTGGAACCAAGAATGGATTTTATTATGAGACACTTATAACTACACATCAAATGCTATGTATGTTATAGTTCACAAAGGTAATAACAATACATCTCATTGAAGTAGAGCATTAATAATATTTATTTTACAAAGCCAAAGATGGTTTAGGTGCTGCCTATACACAGCAAAGTTACAAAACTTTCAAACCCACACCATAATAATAAGTATACCAATTCAAAGCCAGAGAATGCAGGAAAAATAAAGGTTTATTTATCTACATGGATCAGTAAAACCAAGGGTCCTCATAGAGCCTCCGCCACAGAATAGTGCATGGTGGTCGGAGATGTTTTCAGAAAACTAGTCCCACAATAGGGGTCTGTACTACCAACCTTAAAAACATCAAGGTTGCCTGAGGTGCCAACCTCGAGTGGTTTATAGTTATACCACCTATCCAAACTTGCAGCGCCTCTGCGGGAGTGTTTGTTGCTTTTACCGCCACCATTACCACCACGAGAATAGTTGTTTCCCTTCTGCACTTTCTTTCTATTCTTCTTGTCATAGTTCTTCTTCGAGTGCTTTTTCCCTCTAGCCGTGTGCAATACAGAAGTTGGCAGAGGATCGTACACATCAGGGGCCCATGTCACTCTCAGCTTCTTTGCTGGTAATCCCTGATTCTCACGGCTACCTTTAAGGGCAGACACTAGCTTCAATGGAGTCTGTTAAAGGGTAAATGCCAGTAAGAATGGAGAGAAACTGTTAATGAACCAAAGATCCAACTAAAGTTTCTACAAACTAACAAGAGCCTTCATCCGATTCATTGAGAACACAATGTTGAGTCTTATAAATACTATGTTCATCAATCTTAAGAAACCCCTAAGAGTAATCAGAAAAACACAAGAATTTAAGAAGAACAAAAGACACTTACTGACAAAGAAATCAAACGTGAGAAAGGTGACTTCACTGAGTCCTCAGAGAATATCGACCTCAAAGAAGTTCCAATATCATCATCTTCAAGAGGAGAAACAACAGAAGAAAATGATGCTGCAGACTTGTCCAAACACTTAAGGGAAGGCTTGCTTTGAATTCCCTGTTCAAGTAAATCGTCCGGATTACTCGAATTGCCGCCATCACATTCATTATCATACTCATTCAAGCAAACATGGTGAAGTATTGCCTGATTAATCTCACTTAGATCATCTACCTCTTTAGAACCGAACATGTCCTTTTATAATACCAGTGAATACAAATAGTCCTAATTAGCTGCAAAAAATAACAGTCCACCATTGTAACAAGTTTTGATAAGAAAAACGTTACGGGAAAGTACTATCATACTTGGTATAGAGTGCATGATACACAGAATTTAATTCAAAATCAAGCTGAAATATTTTTCAAGTAATTAATCAAGATCATTCCAAAATTCAAGAAATTAAAAAAAATTAAGCTGAAAAAAATTGCACAAAAAATATTAGTGGGACTCATTCTTTGATAAGTAATACTCATCCAAATGTAGCTAAACAAATTCAATCATCCATAATAATTAACCCTAACCCATAAATACTGCTAAATGAATAAGAATCATATACCTTTCTTACGGCGGCTACTGAAATCAATAGAGGAGCTTTAAACCTCCCGAAAGAGCAAACCCCAGATCACGATCGAAACCAATCCCCGGATCTTCTAAACAAACTAGATTCCTTCTTATCTCACGGTAAATAATAGGAATCGAGAAGAAGAAGAGGGAAAATAGATGGGAAACGAATGAAAAAGGTACAGAGGGAATAAAGAACACTGAATTTGAGGGGGGGAAACGTTAACTAAGATTACCACGACGATCGCTCTTTTGAAGATGTTTCAAACGATGGGAACATAAACATAAACCGACATGAAAATGGGTCAAAGAAGGGATCAAAGGGAGCAAAATCGATTCAAAGGGTAACGAAGGCATATTATCTCCCTATGCTCTTCGTAGCCCCCAAATTGTGTTAGAGAAAAAGACCTATTTTCCTGTTGTTTTCGTGTTTTTTTTTTTTGGATCGATTGATTTACAGAAGAAAAACCCAAAAACAAAAGGATGGGATATATAGGAAGAGGAAGAAAGCAAGACGGCGAAGGGATCGGCGTAGGACAAGAAGAGAAAGGTCAAGCGTTAATGAACTTACCTATGATATATATATCTAAACATAAAATGAGGAGGAAAGGATGCTATGTAAGAGTCAATAATGTAGGTTTGCTGTACGTGAGGCCATATCAGGAAATTACACGAGTCAATCGTGCAATCCTACATTTTATATGAGTTAATTGTGTCACATGTCATCAAAGTATGATTTTTATTTTAAATTGGTCCCTAAACTTTTAAATATTCCAATTTTATTCCTAAACTATGATTATCTTTCTAAATTAGTCCTCAAACTTTTGAATATTTTAATTTCATCCCTAAACTATTACCTTCATTCTAAATTGAACCCTAAAATTTTTTAACATTCTAATTTCATCCTAAACTATACGCATAAATAATCATATCCCTTGTTAATAAAATCGATAGGCCAAATTATATTATTATATGATTGAAAAAACAAATTTTAGGTTAAACTATGGTTGAAAGTAATTACATATTTGGATATTTTGGGGATGAAATTGAAATATTCAAAAGTTTGAAGACCAATTTAGAAATAGGGTCATAGTTTAATGATGAAATTATAAATTTCAAAAGTTTAAGGACTAATTTATAATGAGAGTCATAGTTTAAGGATGAAATTAGAATATTAAAAAATTGATTAGGGACATATGATGCCATTTACTCTTTTTCTTATTATTGAGATATTTTGTAGATTTTTTTAGTTGTAAATACATGTTTACTTTAATTACACTTAAATAGTTAATTTACTCATATATATATATATATATATATATATATATATATATATATATATGTAATATTCTTTTATATATATTATGAGAGAATAACATTATCTCAATATTATTTATAAAATTATCAATCTTTTTGTTATATAGAATAAAATTGTACCTTTTCACCCTCTTAAAAGGCGCTTATTTAACGTGATGTTCTTTTATTTTACGTTATATTTTAATAAATAATTCTATGTATTTAGACGATCGTTTTTTTAGGTTAAAAAATATGTTTTGCTATTGTGGCTTTGAACAAATTGAAGGGAATATAAATGGTAAAAATTATTTTTAAGATTTAGAAAAATTTACAGTAATCAAAAGAAAAGTTGTAGTATGAGAAAAAAAATAGACTCATTAGTTATTGTTGATGTTTTCGAAATCAAAGACAGTGACTGATAATTTTATTTTGTTTTTTGTATAGCCAAAAATTAAAATTACAAGATAAGAATGAAAATTACAAAAAATTTACAATAAATTACACATCAAATTCTTATAAATTAATATATATTTTAAAGATAAAACCAAAGCTTTTCGAGATAAAAATTGTGATAAGAAGCTTTTAAATCTAAAAATTAGTAGACAATTGCCCATAATTCATGTATTATCAAAATACTTCCCATATATTAAGATCGTCTAACGGTTTCTCTTTTTCGATTAATGTTAATATATAATGCTCGTTGAGCGTAAATGAGCACCGTTAATGATGAATATCATTAAATTAATTTATAAAATGTTAACTTATAAAATGCTAAACATTTAATTATAAATTAGTTAAAATTTTAAATTTAAATGTAATTAAAATATAATATTTATAAAACATTAGTTTTTAGGGTAAACTATATCTGTAACACCTCCAACTCGTATTTAACCCGGATCCGAGTCTGATGTGTCACATTGACTTTTCAAACCTTTTTTCTTTACAAAATGACTAAAAAGTTAAATTCACAATTCAAGAAATTTCTTACTTTTCATTTATTTAAAAATAATTGATTTTACACAACATATCAGAGCTTATACAATCTACATCTTTAAAATACATGCCAACTACACTTTATATAACAAAATACATATACTCAACTGCGATTCTGATCTTATCTATGGAAAGGAGAATCTGACTTGTCTTGCTCCTCTTCGCTTCTCTTTTCTCTTCCAGAACCTACGTGTGAAACACTCACACGCTAAGTCGATGACTTGGTGAGGCATATAAAACATCTAACGTAAACTCTAACTTCTAACAATGCATGAATAACTAATGCTATCATATCATATGAAAGTATATATTATTTCTTGTAACCTATACACATATGCACATATTTTACCATCTACGTTATTATTTCTTTTCATATAGGTTATCATTAATCCTTTTTTATCTTATCATATTATCTTTAACACTCATACATATTATATCCACAAATAAACACATACATCATACTAAGTTTATTTATATTATTTCTTTATTAGCCCATGCTCACATGTGAGAACTAAATATACGTGAGTACATTGAGGTTGTGCACTATGCTGTCACCACAACTCGTATAAGGGTCCACTGAGTGGAATGTGAAATATGTCCCGAAGGACCACTATCCATATGTCCCGAAGGACATAGGTAACCTATCCATATATTCCGAAGAACATAGATAACCCTCGATTCTTGGCATGCCAACTATATCTCTAACCCTCGTGACACATAACATGGGCATTATTTTTATTTATATCATTTCACATATTCACATGTACATATCACTGTTTATATAATTTCATGTTCATATGTCACTTAACTTATAACACTTCTCATGTGTTCATATAGTATGTATATCATTGTCATCTCTTGTTCACATATGTTTCTCGTATTCCATATATACTACAAATATCATGGTTTCTACCGTGCTTATCCTATAGGTTCCTATCACCATTATATAATCATGCATACATATAAATCATGTAATACATATACTCATATTACACACATGATCATGCTCATGAGTTCATACATACTACTATAAATAGACTTGTCACAAGTCTTATTTCCATTAAACAACATACAACACTAGTATGCACTCACCTGGCCTCACTAGTCTCTTCCAATCTTTTGTCTCTTCATCGATGATCGTTGCTTGTCTAATTGTCCGGACATTACTCTCGATCGTTATCTACACAATCATACGTATTATATACCTATCATCATTCCCAATATCATAATTTATAATTCTTTATTTCTTAAACTAAAAGAAAAGCTACTTTCATTTCTTACTTAAGGTAGGTATCGGTACCTTCTATATGGTATCGGTACATCCCTTAACTGAGGTATCGGTACACTGGCTAGGTATCGATACCCAAATTACATTCGATAATTTTTTTCATTTCAAGGGGGTATCGATACATTCCTTAAGGTATCAGTACCCTTTTAATATCTTCCTGAATTTTTCCCTTGAGGTATCGGTACCTGTTGAAAGGGTACCGATACCCCTAGCCCATAAATCATATTTTAAGCACGAAAATCACTTCATTCTAGCTCAATTACTTCACAACTTAACTCCTTTAATACCCTTAACTCAAGGATACATATACAAACACATTTCTAACCCTTTAATACATCTTTAACCACAAACTCCCGTCCTCCATATGAAATTCAAGAATCAAACTAAATTTTCTACTTGTTCTAATTTCTTCTAGCACTACATATCCCTTAGTTCACCCATTGACAAGTAAAATTTAACTTTCAATTTTAATTATGAACTCTATTCCAAAATTTCATTCAAGAACTCCTAATATTTAATCTCTCCTAATTCCATCATCCTTTGCTTTTAAGATAACTTAAGCTTTCCTTAAGCTTAATTTTCATCTAATGATCCTAAACCAATCTTAAATTCAGCAAGAAATTAACTAACCATGAAACTCACCTTTGTTTTGGAGTCTTCACGCACAAAGAATAAATGAGAAGAAGAGAAATCTGGAAGCTTGGATTTTTGCTTTCTCTCATCCACATGGACTATATATATAACCATAAAAAATATTTCCTTGCCAAAATGACCATTTTACCCTTATTACTTTCAAACTTTACTATTAAATCCAATATCAAAATTTTCCAATTAAATCCCTAAACTTTTAATATTTTCTGAGATTGGTCATTAAGTTTTCAAAACTTCTATTTTGGTCACTGACCCGACTTTTGGGATGTTACAAATCTCCCCTCCTTTGAGGAAAATTAGTCCTCATCTATAAGTACATTGCTTACATACATTTTCTAATATTCCCATGTTACTCATTTCACTTAATCTTTCTTGTTTACTACTAGTAACTTACATTTTTACTTACTTCCTTCTTCATCTACATTCATACTTATAAGTCCATATAATATCACCCACCATATAGACAATACTTCAATCCTTACTATTCAATATCATGAATCAATCCTTTTCTAATAGTTTTACACGATAAACCAATTATGTACTTATTTCTTAATTCCTGTCTATATTATAATACACATAATATTTTCATATAATCTTACGTACTTGTTCAAAAAGGTGCTAAATTACTTCATTTCCTTATACGAACCCCAATTAATTTCCAACAATATTCTGATACATAATTGATAACAATCATTCTCATTCCTCTAAGAATTAAAAATTGTACCATTTCAATATCAAACTTATAACTTATACCTCAATATAACTCTTGGCATACTTAATCCTTTAAACTCCATCTTTTATTTTCCTTATCCCTTTATTCATTTATTCCTACAAAAATAAAAATCTCCTTATACACAGATCATATCTTTTCTTTCATGTTCACATACTCTTTTCATATCACTTATAATCTTCTCTAATTATCGATCTTTATCGTATCTTTATAACTTTGATAGTCAACTTTACTTATATAGAACCTCATTACTTATCGTCT